GAAACACCATAATGTTTCCCACAGTGGCTGCACCAGTCTGCATTCCCACCAGCAGTTCCTTTTTCTCCACATCCTCATCAGCCCTTGTCGTTTGTTGATCATTTTCTACATTTTTTTAAAAATTGAGGGATAACACACATTCAATGAAATGCACAAGTCTTAAGTGTACAGCTTAATATTTTTACCTACCTACCTACCCAAGTCACCACCACCCAAGGGGTCCCATCATGCCTCTTCCCACCTTACACCCTCTCCCTGAGGTAACTATTCTTCTTACTGCTCTCCTCAGATTCATTCTGCCTGGTTTAGAACTTCATTTAAGCACTTGGCTTCTCTCATTCAACGTGGTATCTGTGAGATTCATCCATGTTCTCACACATAGCAGTAAAGTCCTTATTTATTGCTAACTAGTATTCCATTGCATGGACATACCATCATTTCTTTCTCCAGTTTCCTGTTGATTGGCCTTTGAATTGTTTCCAGTTGGGATATTATAATAAAAGCTGCTGTGAACATTCTTTCTTTTAAAATATATTTTATTGATTTTTTTTACAGAGAAGAAGGGAGAGGGACAGAGAGTTAGAAACATCGATGAGAGAGATCGATCAGCTGCCTCCTGCACGCCCCCCTAGTGGGTATGTGCCCGCAACCAAGGTACATGCCCTTGACCGGAATCGAACCTGGGACCCTTGAGTCCACAGGCCGACGCTCTATCCACTGAGCCAAACCGGTTCGGCTGTGAACATTCTTGATGTTCAGCTCACAGCTACTCTGGTGAGCAATTTAGTGATGATGTCAAGTTGCAGATGTGTATACTTCATGACCCAGCAACTCCACCCCTGGGATAACACATTAATAGACGCTTTCACACATGTTAAAAGTGGCGAGAGTAAAAATGCCGATGGCTATGTTATTATAACTGCAAAAATACAATAAACTAACCTGAAATGCCCACCAACAGGAGAGTGAGTCACTAAATTGTGGTCAAGTCATACAATGGAACACTATATATAAGTAAATGTAAATGACATAAAGCTAATCATATCAAGATGATGGCTCAGAAATAATACTGTGTGAAGAAAGCAGGATCTAGGTGCACAATGCCACTTACATACAATTTTAAAACATGCAGTACACGCCCTAGCCGGTTTGGCTCAGTGGATAGAGCATCGGCCTGCAGACTGAAGGGTCCCAGGTTCAAAAGGGTCCCGGGTTCAAAGCCTTGGTTGCAGGCTCTTCTCAGCCCAAGCCCTAGTCAGGGCTCGTGCAGGAGGCAACCAATCAATGTGTTTCTCTCACATCCATGTTTCTCTCCCTCTCTTCCACTCTCCCTAAAAATCGATGGAAAAATATCCTCGGGTGAGGATTTGAAAAAAAAAAATATAAAACACGCAGTACACTCTCTCATTGGCTGGGAACACAGCTGCATGTAATAAAGGTACAAAAAATGCATGGTGTTGATAAACAGACAATTGAGAATAGTGATTCCCTTCAGGCGGGGAGGGCAGAGCTTGTGCAGTGGGGAGTACAGGGGGGTCGACTGAATGCATAGGTGCTTTGCTGCTTCCGCCAGGCGGCCAGTACACAGGTGGTTGGTATTTCATTTTTAAGCTTGACATGTATCATCAGGGCAGTTCCATTCAGGCGGAATCCTGGGGTGGAAGATTTGAAAGGAGCTAAAATTAGAGGGTCCTTGGCACGAGGACAGGAAGTGACCAGTGAGACGTTCAGAGGGTTCAGCGGGTGTGGGCACCCCCAGCCCTGCTCAGCACTGCCCCAGGACCAGCTGTGATGACTCAGAGACGCCAGAGCACAGTCTGCACTGAAGGCCGTAAGGACGGGGTTCCCCGTGGTCAGGACCAAACAGTGGGGCCTAAGTGCTTCCTCTTGGTAGACAGGTCAGCGGGATGGGGACGAGGAGAAGGTCAGACCAGCACTTCCAGTGGGTGGTGCAGGAAGGTGTGCCGGCCTCTCTTCCTTTGGGCGTGCCCCACCTTAACCCCGTTCTCCATACCTCCTCCTGGGCTTCACCTTTCCAGGCACTGTTTGCCAGCCTCCTCTTGACCCTGGAAGACGAACTGACCAGGCTCTGTCACCACAATCCCCAGCACAGCAAGTGCTGGATGAGGAAGCAGGGACCTGAGGCAGGCCTTCGCAGTAGAAATGGGGTGACCGCGAGGACACAAATGGGTAGGGGAGTCAGGGAAGACATGGGCAGTGAGGACCCTGGCTGTCCAGGGGCCAGGACCCCTGGTGGGTCAGAATGTTCCTGTTTTCCTTTCCTTGTCCACTCGGGCTAGGAAAATCCCGTGACACACCCAACCTCCACCCCTCCGATCGGCAGGCTGTGCCTTGAGGTGCCCCTCAAGGTGCCTGGTGCAAGGTGCTGACTAGCACAGGGGCAGGGTGGGGGTTCAGCTGTGGGCACAGCTCACCCACTCCTGGGGTCCTCCTAGCTTCCCAGGTGTCCCTAATGGATCTGTTCCCCAACCATTGCAGCTAACCAGTTGCTATAGAAACTGGAGCCGTTTCTCTTACCCATTTGCCAGGGCACCACTAGGAAGCCATCCTGGACGGGGCTCCTGTTCCCAGCCTCTCACCATCCTCTGACCTGTCAAGGCCTATGGTCAGGCTCAGACCTCCTGGGCCCAAGTTAATGCTCTACCCCACCCTTGCTGGGGGCACTTCCTGCCTCTGTGCCAGTCCCTGTGTGGCCATGACTTCTACCTCCCCCAAGCCCTCCCTGGGCTATCATGTTTCTTAGCTAAGAATCCGCCCCCATTTTCTTTCTCCTGCACAGGAAGTGCTGACTCAGAGAGAGAAGGGCAGTCCCCCATTGAGGCGCCCCTGACGAGGATCAGGCTCTCAGAGGCAACGGCTCCAGCTGCTCCCTAGTGTCACACAGCCCAGCAGGTCCCGGACCCAGAGGCAGGGGAGTGCCCGGAGCCGCCTTCACACCTGCTTCACCGTCTTTCCCCTGAACACACCTGCCCGGTGCTTCAGCGCCAGGGCTGTGGCCAAAGAACTAGGGACCTGGTCATGGAGGGTCAGGCGGAGGCCCCACATCCCCAACCGTCACTGGGTGTGTTCCTTGTAACCCAGTCCACCAAGATGTCCTGGGACGAAAGCATTCCACGGTCCAAACATAGCTGGGTAACACTGAGCTCTAACCCTTCTTGAGTGGGCGGGGTGTCGAAATGCACATTAGCACAGTCAAGGCTCTGAGAAGGCCTGTGGGAAATAAACTTGCTTTAATCCATGATTCTTAAATGTATTTGACCAGACTTTTTAAAAATATATATATTTTATTGATCTTCCACAGAGAGGAAGGGAGAGGGATAGAGAGAAATATCGATGAGAGAGAAACATCCATCAGCTGCCTCCTGCACACCCCCTGCTGGGATGTGTCCGCAACCAAGGTACATGCCCTTGACCGGAATCGAACCTGGGACCCTTGAGTCTGCAGGCCGACGCTCTATCCACTGAGCCAAACCGGCTAGGGCAGACTTTTTTTTTTTTTTTTTAAGAACATATGCTAGTCCTAGCCGGTTTGGCTCAGTGGATAGAGCATTGAGCTGCGGACTGAAGCAGGTCCTGGGTTTGATTCCGGTACCTCGGTTGCAGGCTCTTCCCCAGCCCCTGATCTGGTCGGGACTCATGCAGAGGCAACCAATCAATGTGTTTCTCTCACATCGATATTTCTGTCTTTCCCTCTCTCTTCCACGTTCTACAAATCAATGGAAAAATATCCTCAGGTGAGGACTAAAAAATGTTTTAAATAAATAAAAGAACATGTGCTAACGGAACACCTCTTATACCTTTTGGAAACACTGCTCATGCGGCCGCTTTCCTCAGCGGGAAAGGTATCAGCAGGGCCCAGATCTCACTGCCACCCCCAGAAGGCCGTCCCAGGCGGAGGGCTCTGTATCCTCCCTACTCAGTGTCCGAGGGGCAACAGCGTTGGTGGCTGGGACCTTGTGAGAAATCCTGGACCTCGGGCCCCACCCCCACCTCCTGCTCTGAGTCTGCAGGTTAATACCATCCCTAGGGGATCGGACAGTGTGAGCAGCTGTCCCACACCTGCTGTTCCTCCCCCTCCACGATGGCTAGCTGATCACCTCCCCCCGGGTGGGGGCTCTGGGCCCTGTATCGACATGTATTGGCCTGTTTTGAATCTCGCACCTGATTGGGAAACTCCCCACATCATGAATTCTCCTTCCCAGGGGCCCATGAGGGGCCCCAGGGGGCGGGCCATCGAAGAGGCCTCGCTTTTGCAGAAGCTCAGAGCAAGGGCCACTCGGCCTTTTGTCCCCGCTCAGCTGTCTCTTCCACAGAGACGCCCGGGGACCGTCCTCTCGGGGGCTCCAACCAGAGTCACCCCTGAGCCAGTCCAGCCTCCCTAGTGGTCATTCACGAGGGTCTAAAGCAGCGGTTCTCAACCTGTGGGTCGTGGCCCCTGAAAATACATCCTGCATATCAGATATTTACATTATGATTCATAACAGTAGCAACATTACAGTTATGAAGTAGCAACGAAAATAATTTTATGGTTGGGGGTCACCACAACATGAGGAACTACAGTGGGGCCTTGACTTATGAGTTTAATTCGTTCCGAGACCGAGCTCGTTAAGGAGCTCGTTAACTCAAATTACTCTATCAACTCAATGCAAAAAATCGGCAGAGAGACAGCTGGTATCTCAAAAACTCGTTAGTCGGGACACTCGTAAGTCAAGGCCCCACTGTATATTAAAGGGTCTCGGCATTAGGAAGGTTGAGAACCACTAACGGAACCTTTAGCCGCTCTCCCCCAGCCCCTTAGAACCCTGAAGAAGGGAAAGGTGAGCCGGCCTCTAGGGAGAAGACCTTTATTGAGAATTTGCTCCATAAATAACTACAGAAAGTGTGTGTGGGGGGGGGGGGCACTCTGCGTGCTGTCTGACATGAGGAATCTTATCTGAAAGGGAGGGAGAGAGGGAGAGGGGGGGGGAGAGAGAGAGAGAGAGAGAGAGAGAGAGAGAGAGAGAGAAGGGTGCTAACAGCCCAGGTGTCATGAGGGAGAAACCAGTGGCAGAGAAGTCGGACACTTGGGGGTCACTGGGTCAGAGCTTGCACCACATCCTTCACCAGCATGGTGCCGATCACCATCTTCTCGCTGTTGACTGTCAGCTGGGCCGGGCCGGGGGACCGCGCATCCAGGGTCAGCAGGACCAGGCTCCCGCTGGTCAGTGTCCTCCCTGCAAACCTGAGGGGGCCGGAGGGAGGGGCTCAGCCCCTGCGGTCGGCGGCCCTCCTTCAGACCAGGCCCAACAGCCCACCTCCTCCTCGGGGAGGGGCCCAGTACCTGTACTCGTCAGACGTCCCACAAGGGACACGGCCCAGGTTGGCCGTGGCGGTCACTTTCTGCACCACAGTGTGGTCACTCCGACAGCTGTCCGGCAGCGTGAGCTTCTCTGTGATCTCGTTCATGCCCGTCAGCTTTCCTGGGGGCAGAGGTCACAATGAGGGCAGAGGCTGTGACGGGTTCACCTGGGTCTGCCCACGGAGCTTCCTCACCATGTTCCCAGCCTGGGCAGGCCTGACTCTCCCTCACAGCCCTCAGGAAGCCTGCGGGGTCTCCCCAGCCCACCCAGGGCTCCATCCATGTTACTGACTGAAAACTTGGTGGCCACTTAGAGCTTTCCTGCACCCTAGACCCCACACCCAACCAAGTTCAAATCCCTCCCGGCTCCTGCGGCTGAGTCCTCACAGAGAAGAACACTGGTGGCTGCTGCCCTCCTGGCCAAGGCCTGGTCCTCACCAGGCAGCCTCGCAGGTGGACCCTAACCTCACCGGGGGCAGCAGCTCCAGACCTGGCCAGGAGCTCACAGCACCTGGGAACGCCTCACTCAACAGGGCTGACCTCTGTGGTCCACTCACAGGCTCTCAGGCAGCCCTGGGAGCTCCGTGTCCGCCCTCCCGCCCACCTTCTCTGCAGCCTCTCTCCTCCCTCTGAGATGCTCCATCCCCTCCAGGCCTGACCAGTGATAACTTCTTGCCCTTGTACCTTAAGCCTCTCCATGTCCAAGTCTACCTGCTCCTAAGAAGTCCTCTCCAGAAGCCAGATTGCTCATCATGCCAAGGCTGTGTCTCTCCTTCAGAGCCCACGACCTCCATAGAGGACTCCCTTTCCTCAGTGGGTCTCCTTCAACCCACGGGGACTGGCCCCTGCCCTTTTGACAGGCCACGCCCCCTTTGGCCCTGCCCCTTTGACCAGCCCCGCCCCCTTCCTCAATGACCTGCTCTCCCCAAGGCTCCTATCTGCTGGCTCTGAAGGTCTTTGAGGCATCTCCCCAGGGCGATCTCACTCACATCACAGCTTCAGTTCCCACTTCCATGCGTGCTCGGGGCTCCAGCCCAGAAGTGCTTCCTGGGCACAGACCCACATTTCCAGCTGCATACTCAACACCGCCCGCTGAATTTCCCAAACGCATTGCAAAACCAGCTTATCCAGAGCTAACCTTGCTCTTCCCTCACCCCTCGCCCAAACCCATTCTTTCTACCAGATCAGGGGTTTGGCAGATTACAGCCTGCAGGGCCAAATCCCGCTCCCCACAGGGCCCACAAAGCCTAAAATATTGGCTTTATGGCGCATTGCAGAAAAAGCAAAAGCGTGCCGACCCCTGGTCTAGGTGAAGGGCACTGCCATTCTCCTTATCATCCAAACCCAAACTTCTAGAACAGCTTCTAGGCCTCCCTCTTCCTGGGGGCCACCCGCCTCAGCCCCTCGCTCCCTTTGTCACGGCTCTAATCCTGGTCCTCACCGTCTCTGGGCAGATCTGTTGCAACAGCCTCATTAATGGTCAGAATATGGCCCAAGGTCACAGACCAAGTGAGTGCAGATTCGGAACCTAAACCAGGGCCCACAAAGCCCCGGGCTTCTCCCACGGGGGCTGCCCTGCCTCCTCCAGCTGCTGCAGCTCCTCCCAGCCTCAGTCCTGGCAGAACGCTGCAGCTTCCTCTGTGGGAAGCAGAGGTCTGAACCTGGCCCGCCCTCACTCAGACACCTTCCCTGACGCCTCCGCCGCCAGGAAGACAAATCCAAGACCCGCCTCTCTCTAGCGATGGAGCTGGACCCACTAGCCCCATCCAGCTCTGAAATTCTAGGGCTGAAACCCTTCAGCATCACGTTTGAGGCTTCCGGAAACGAGACTACACATGCCTTCAGCCTCGTTCTCACCACTCCCCTGTGCTGGGGACTCCCGTGTCCTCTCTTCCCTTCCTGGAAACCTTCACCGACATGCACCGCGATGTTCCCCCAGCTGGAGTGCTTGCTGGCCTAGTGGCGAGGGCCCACTCTCTCCACAGCCTCGCTGAAGTGTCCCGGCCCCTGCGGAGCTGCTGTAGAGCCCCCGCGGCGCAGCCCCCCGTCTGATGAGCTGAGGATCCCCCGCAGGGCTGTGAGCTGGAGCTGAGGGCCCTAGACTCTAGGGCCTAGAGCAGGGATGGCGAACCTATGACACGCGTGTCAGAGGTGACACGCAAACTCATTTTTTTGGTTGATTTTTCTTTGTTAAATGGCATTTAAATATATAAAATAAATATCAAAAATATAAGTCTTTGTTTTACTATGGTTGCAAATATCAAAAAATTTCTATATGTGACACGGCACCAGAGTTAAGTTAGGGTTTTTCAAAATGCTGACACGCCGAGTTCAAAAGGTTCGCCATCACTGGGCTAGAGGATGGTGCTGAGTCCCACCACTGTCCGCCCAGGGCGCACTCACCCTGTTCCTTCTTAAACTCATTCTCACTCATGAACACCGGGGCCATCAGCTCCCCAACCGGCGGCTGAATGGAGACATAGAACTGTCGCACTTGGGTGCTGGGTGGGGGGAGAAGACAGAGGAGAAGGCAGTGAGGCCCATCTCTCCCCTCGCCTCCCACTTTGGGGATAGGGCTTGGGGGCAGCAGGAGAGGGAGGTGAGACCCGAGGGCGTGGGCTGGCTTCCAGACCCTCCACCTCATGACGTACCCCCCAACCCCCGGCTGCCACCACCTCCAGCTCCTCTCCACTGTGACCCCACCTCTCCCCGGCCCAAGGAGGATACTCACCACAGCTGGAAGTTGGCCGCCTGGGTGGAGTCACAGAAATTAATGCCCATGACAGCAGTAGCAGATTCTCCAGGTGCCAGGGACTCTGCAGGGGGAGCGGGAGGGGGAGAGGGAGTCTGCGTCCCAGACCCATTCTCCCTCCTCTGACAGAGCCGACCACTCCCAGCTTCCCGCCCCAGGAGACCATTCCTGGTTTTCTCCTGAAATCTAAACACCCCTCCCCTACCCCCCCACACACACTCTCATCCAGGGAAGTCAGTCTTTTTGTTTTGTTAATCCTCACCTGAGGATATTTTTCTCATTGATTTTTAAGGAGAGTAGGAAAAAAAGGGAAAAACAGAGAAAAACGCATCAATTGGTTGCCTCCTGCATGCACCCGACCAGGGCCTGGGCTGGGCAGGAGCCTGCAACCAAGGTACGTGCCCTCGACCGGATTCAAACCCGGGACCCTTTGGTCCACAGGCCGATACTCTACCCACTGAGCCAAACCGGCTAGGGCTGAAGTCAGTCTTGAAGTAACCGAGCCTCAAGCACCCCCTGCCCTGATCAGGACCCCCTCACTTCCTAGCCTGTCTTGCCCACTGGGCATGGATCATGCTAGACGCCCTCTCTGTGCCCCCAGGGCCTGGCCCCTGGCCCGGCAGGGACAGGGCATCAACAGCTGTAGAGAGACTGCCCGGGAGCCGCACCGATTTCAGGGAACTCCTGGATGCTGATGCCTGCAGGCAGTTTGGGGGTGCCCACATGCAGGCCCTTGATGGGGGTGTCGGAGCTGTTGGAGAAGTGGATGAGCAGAGACACCATGTGGGGGTCCCCGGAGAAGGGCTGGCGGCTGAAGGCGTAGTCCACAGCCAGGCCCTCGCCCGCCACGCGGTGCAGCAGCTCCTGCCGCCCCACGCCAGACACCGGGCTCAGCAGCTGGACGGGAGGGAGAGGGGATGGGAGTGAGCAAGCAGCAGCCTGCCCAGCCCTGTCCCCACCGAGGGTCACAGCCAGCACTTTCCCTTCCATCACCCCCCACACACAGATCCACATCCCAGGACGCAGCACAGAACTGTGGGTCCCATCCCACTCACCGAGGGCACCAGCGGGGAGTCCGTGAGGGTCAGGCCCTCCAGGTCTGCGGCCAGACTGCTGGACACGACCGTGGGGGGAGACACAGGCTGGGCGCTGGTAGGGGTGACTGTGGACAGATGAGGAAGACTGTGGTGGGGAGAGGCAACGTGACACTGGCCCCAATTAAGCAGGGCTCAGGGAGCAGACGGTTCAGCACCATGGACAGCGGTGCATGTGGCAGCCTGGTGGCTCTAACCACTCTCCACCCCAGCCCCACACCTAGTGTCCTCTCAGGCCTGAAGATGTGTTATTTTTTTTAAAATATATATATATATTTTAAATTGATTTCAGAGAGCAAGGGAGAGGGAGAGAGAGAGAAACATCAATGATGAAAGAGAATCATCGATCGGCTGCCTCCTGTACGCCCCACACTGGGATCAAGCCCACAACCCAGGCATGTGCCTTGACCAGGAATCAAACCGTGACCTCCTGGTTCACAGGTGGATGCTCAAGCACTGAGCCACGCTGGCCAGGCTGTCTGCTCTCCCCACGCCCAAGCCCTGAGGACCAGAGCTCCCCCAGACCTTCCTACGTCCCACGCCCCAGGCCTCCTTCCCTGTGACCTCTACCCCCAAACTCACAGTCCTCGAGATCCAGCAGGGACACCTCCTTGGCTGCAGGGGCACTTTTGCTGCTGGGAGGCTGCAAGAGAACACGGGGTGTGGGCATGGGAGGGAGTGCCCGGGTACAGGACACACTGAGTGTCCAGAAGGTGGGAGGGCCCTGTCCCAGAGCCCACCCCTCTCGGCCCGACTCTCACCGTCTTCTTCCTCCAGGACACGGGTTCCCCCTGCTCCTCCTCGCTCTCCGACGACACCTCGGACTCTGAGGAGCTGCTGCTGGAATCACTGCCCTCATCCGAGGACGAGCCTTCTCCTTGTCCCTCCGTCACCTTCTTCCTCTTCTTTCTCTTGCTCTTCTCACCTTCCTCCTCACTCTGTTCACTGGAGGATGGGGGCGGGGGCAGAAGATACTCAGGCCCAGCCTGGGCTTCCACTCCTTGCCTCCCAGAAGAGTGGGGAAGCCCTGGAAAGTGGGGGTGAGGTGGGGAGCCTGGGCCAGTGGGGTCCTGCACCAGCCCATGCCCGATTGCTTCTCTATGCTGCATCCCTGAGACCTCCTGTGGCTCCTGAGAGCAGCCTCAGCGGGAGTGGGCCGGGGTCTGCGGGTGCTGGTCAGGGTCCGTGGGAGCTGGCGGGGTCTGCGGGAGCTGGCTGGGGCTCCACAGGAGCTGGCTGGGGTGTGCGGGAGCTGGCAGGGGGTCTGTGGGAGCTGGCCGGGGTGTGCGGGAGCTGGTCAAGGTCTGCGGGAGCTGGCGGGGTCTGCGGGAGCTGGCTGGGGCTCCACAGGAGCTGGCTGGGGTGTGCGGGAGCTGGCAGGGGGTCTGTGGGAGCTGGCTGGGGTCCGCGGGAGCTGGCCAGGGGTCAGTGGGAGCTGGCCGGGGGTCCGCAGGAGCTGGCCGGGGGTCTGCAGGCCCCACCAGCTCACCAGGCTCAGGGGCTCTTAGGAGGCTGGCCTGGGCTGTGTGGTTAGCCCTTCTTTCCCAGGGGAGACCCCAAGCCCCACCCTTCTCTTACCTCTCGCTGCTCCTCCCCTTCTCCTCATCCTCATCCTGATCTTCATTGTCAGACTCGCTGCTCGACTCCCCAGAGCCGCTCTCGCTGCTGCTCTTGCTGTCCGGCTCGCTCTCGGACTCGGGTTCTGTAGAGGAACCGTCTCAGAACCGGCCCCCCCCACTATCCCCCCTCCCTCGCCAAGTGCAGGCCTCCCGGTCCCCAGCAGGTGCCCTGGGCTCGCAGCTTCAGACTCAGCTCTGATGCTGCAACCCTCCCCCGACCTGCCCCTGGTTCCAGGTGCCACCCAGACCAACGGGGACACAGCTGGACCCGCATGGACAGAGACCTGCATAGGCAGGTGCACATAGGTGCACCCCCCTTGGATAAACAACCAGGTCTCACACACACACACACACACACACACACACACACACGCACACACACACACGCACACGCACACACACGCCTCAGACAGCACCCATGTGGGCAGCAGCACAGAGCCCAGCTCTCAATCTCCTCACCACTGTCTGCGGACTCCGTGGGGCCCGACTCGCCCTCAGAGTCTGAGTAGAAGGGTTTCTCCTTCTCCTTCCTCTTCTCCCGATTTGAGCTCTTGGTCCATTCAGGTACCTGGAGGTGGGGGGCGGGTAAGAGAGTTAGTAAATTGTGGTTGGGGAGGGGGAATGACAGCACAGAGCCTCCTTATCCTTCACCCCGCCTCTTCCGGGCCCTGGTCCTGTCCCAGGAGGAACTGGTGAGGGGCAGCTGCTCGCAGAGGGGGCACGGACAAACCACGGAAGAGACAGAGGGGAGGGAAGGCACAGGGCCAGCACGCAGGGGAGCGGGGAGAGGAAGCACTGCAGGCCGAGCAGAGGGCACACGGCACACGGGTGTGGGGACCTCAGTGTATTCGCCCAGCAGGCCCACGTGGGTCTCAATAAGGGAGAGATCTTCTTCCTGTGTGTGGGGAGGGTGTCAGGAGGGCGTGGCCAGCTCGCGAGACACCAGGGCTCCCTGCTGTCGGTCCCTCCACCTGCGCGACTCAACCTCCACCCCCGCTGACCTCCACGTTGCGCACGGAGGGGTCCGGGGCTTCCTCTGGCCAGTCGGGGAGCTCCTGGTAGCCTGTGGCCTTGGCATTGAGCAGGTGGGACAGTGAGCCCAGCTGGAAGTGGTCCCGGTCTGGGGACAGGGTGAGAAGTCAGCCTGTGAGTTTTCCTAGGGGCTGGTGTTGATCCTGGTTGGGGGGCGGGGGTGGGGGAGCCTCGCTGGGCAGATGAAAGGGTGGATGTGCCTCTTCATCGCTCTTCCACCCTGACCTTCAGGCCCACATGCTGGAGGGAAGGTGCTCTGGCCCGACCAGAGCAGGCTGAGGGGTGGAGGCAGGTGGGGGCGGAGGAGGGACCCTGGCCCACGGGTGCTGCTGGCCCTGGGTGGTGGGAATGTCATGTCCCCTCTCTCCCTGGGCAGTGGGGGCTGGGTGCTCAGCACCGCCAGGTCCCACAAGGAGGCCCCGCAGGGATGAGCATAGCGACCAGGAATGAGAGGTTGGCCCCGCTGGGTCAGGGCCTGGAGGGGTGAGAGCCCCGTGGGAGCAGGAGGAGGTCAGGGCCAGAGGAGGGCAGCACAGAGACTTGCGAGTGGGGACGGTCCTGGGAGGAGAAAGGGACAGTTCCCCTTCTCCCAGGAGATTTTCACATCTGCCCCTTCCCTCGGATGGGGGTCCCCACTTCAGCTCCCACCTTTGAAGGACGACTCCAGGACGGGGGCTGGTTTGGGCGCCAGGAAGAGCTTCTTGGCGTGGCGGCTGAGGGCCCCGCCCTGCTCCGAAGGCACGATGAGCTGCCGGGTGAAGCGTGCGCGGTCACGGATGTCATAGTTCTGGTCGTACTTGGCCAGGCTCAGCACGTACTGGGTCAGCAGCTTGGTCTTGGGGACAAGAGAGGGTGAGCACCGGTCAGAGAGTGGGGGACACAGGAGGTCCCACACCAGGCTCTGACCGACACCACTGCATGGGGCACCCTCCCTCCACCCCAGTCCTTCCCACAGACTTTATGTTCCCTCACCTCCCTGACTCTTGACCCCAACTTTTTTTTTTTTAATCCTCACCCGGGGATATTTTTCCATGATTTTTGGAGAAAGTGGAAGAGACAGAGAAAGATAGAGAGAAACATCGATGTGAGAGAAACACATCCATTGGTTGCCTCTTGCATGCGCCCGACCAGGGCCCGGGCCACGGAGGAGCCTGCAACCAAGGTACGTGCCCTTGACTGGAATTAAACCCAGGACCCTTCGGTCCACAGGCCGACACTCTACCCACTGAGCCAAACTGGCTAGGGCCTGACCCCAACTTTGACAGCTGCCCTTTGGGCCTTGGACTCCATTCATCCTCAGACTTGTGGTCCCAGGTTTGCGGTCCCCACGGCCACAGTCCTCCCCTGAAAAGCTATACTGAGAGCAGAGCCAACCGCAGAGCCCGCACCGTGGGCTGCTGAAGGCACAGAAGTCCTGGCATGCACACTGCAGTGAGACAGCAGTATCCCAGACCCAACCTCTCCATTTCTGCCCCGTCCCTGCCTAGTCTACCTGTCTTTTTTTAAAATACATTTTTATTGACTTCAGAGAGGAAAGGAGAGGGAGAGATAGAAACATCAATGATGAGAATCATGGATCGGCTGCCTCCTGCACGCCCCCTACTGGGGATAGAGCCCGGAACCCGGGCATGTGCCCTTGACCAGAATCCAACCCGGGACCCTTCAGTCCTCAGGCCGATGCTCTAGCCACTGAGCAAACTGGCCAGGGCTAGTCTACCTGTCTTTACAAACAACCGTGGTAGCCACTGTTGATGGAGTGCCTCCTAGCATTAAGCACTCGGCACCACCCGAGGACGGAGCTCTGTGCCCGGCACAGCAGGCACTCGGGAAATGTCCTTTAAATCAATCCGTCAGCACAGGCACACGTGGCAAACGCATGTGGCCAGCAGGACAACCTGGGGAAAGGCATGTGGACACCAGGCTTGGGAAACAGGCCGACATCAGCGTCCGGGGGCTCAGCGCTCGGCTCAGTCCTGAGCCTGTCGGTTCCGACCGGTGTGGCTCCCCGCCCACACGGCCTCACCTTGTCACACGTTCCTCCCACTGCTCCTTGCTCTCCTCTGAACAAGGAGGCGCACATACTGTTCAAGGACTGAACGCTCCCCATGGTGCTCCCTATACCTTCTCTTCTCCAAGCTTCTGTTCCCACAATCCTGACACCCACAGGCCCAGGGCCCTGCTGCTTCCACACGTGACTGCTGTCCCTTCCAGCTCCTGAGGAGTCCCAGACCTGAGGGCCCCGCCTCCCCAGCCTGAGTTCCTGGGGCCCAGTGTAGCTGCCGTGGATCAGAGAAGCCCCGAAGAAGCACAGTGCCACCACCCAAAGACTCCATGGGAGGCTGGAGAGGCCGCCTTCAGTCCTCCCAGGCCCTGGGCTCCCCGGAGGAAGCGTGCACACTGGGAACATTGGCCACTTGGGCTCGAGCCAGGTTGCTCAGTGGATAGAGCGTCGGCCTGCGGACCAAAGGGTCCCGGGTTCGATTCTGGTCAAGGCATAGATCTCAGTTGCAGGCTCCTCCCAGGCCTAGACCCTGGTCAAGGCGTGTGCAGGAGGCAACCAATCGATGTGTTTCTCTCACATGGATGTTTCTCTCTGTCTTTCCCTCTGTCTTCCACTCTCTCTAAAAATCAATGGAAAAATATCCTCGAGCCCTAGCCAGTTTGGCTCAGTGGATAGAGCGTTGTCCTGCGGACTCAAGGGCCCCAGGTTCGATTCTAGTCAAGGGCATGTACCTTGGTTGCGGGCACATCCCCAGTGGGGAGTGTGCAGGAGGCAGCTGATTGATGTTTCTCCCTCATCGATGTTTCTAACTCTCTATCCCTCTCCTTTCCTCTCTGTAAAAAATCAATAAAATATATATTTTTTAAAAAAATATCGAGTGAGGATTAACAAAAAAGAAAAAAAAATAAAGGAAGGGGTCTTGGCGTTCACGCCCACCTTGTGAGGGCACACAGAGTACTGCTTGGCGGGTTCTGGGGACCGACTGTGGAGGGGCACCTCTCGATCTGTACCTGCTTCGAGTTGGTCAGGTAGAGCTTGGCCGCCAGGTTGATGACCTGCAGCTTGACAATGTCCTCCTCGGCTGTGAAGGACTTGGCCATTTTCCTGAGGACGTCGGGTGCGATCTTGGGGACGTGCTCACAGTACTCGCCGATGAGCCACAGGATGCTGGCGCGGGCCATGGGCACCTGTGGCGGAGGGAGAGGCGTTAGGACCTCGGTAAACATGGCACGTGGGCAGGCACGTGGCCTGCCAGGGAAATGTCGGGCCTCCCATCTGCACCGGCCGCTGTACGATGGGCTCCCCCAGAAACGGGAGTGGGGGCAGTGGGAGAGGCATTAAAAGGTGGGCACCCTGACCAGTGTGGCTCAGTGGGTGAGCATCGACCTATGAATTGGGAGGCTGCGGTTCAATTCCCGGTCAAGGGCACATGCCTGGGTTGTGTGGCTAGATCCCCAGTGTGGGGTGTGCAGGAGGCAGCCGATCAATGACTCTCTCGTCATCTATCTCTCTCTCCTTTCTCTGAAATCAATAAAATTATATATTTTTTAAAAAGGTGGGTGTTTCACTGGCTTCTTTTCTTTTTAAATTAAATTTTTATTGATTTCAGAGAGGAAGGGAAAGGGGGAAAGAGATAGAAACATCAATGATGAGAATCATGGATCGGCTGCCTCCTGCACGCTCCCTACTGGGGATTGAGCCTGCAAGCCGGGCATGTGCCCTGACCGGGAATCGAACCTGGGACCCTTCAGTCCGTAGGCCGATGCTCTATCCACTGAACCACAGCAGTCGGGCTCACTGGCTTCTTCAAGCCCTAGTGTCAGTCGAGGTTTTAAAGACTGATTTCCTGGATCCACTATGTCCTCAATGCTTCGCTCCATGTCACTCTTCCTGAATCTCCAGGAGCACCTTGTTTCAAAGTTTCAACTTGCCAGGAAAACACAGGACTTGTCAACCAGCCACCCCTGGCGAGAGCATTGGAGAAAACACGAGTGGGGTGCTCGGTGAGGGGTCCCCAAAGGGAAGGCGAATCTTGGGCAACAAGGTCAGGGTCACATGGCCCCATCTCCTCCCATCCTTCCACCTGAAGACCTTGTAGAGCCAGTGTGGGAGGTTTGGAGGTTGATTTAGTTAATTATAGGGAAGGACCTGGGGGTGGGGGAGGGGAGGGGACGCGGCATCACTGCCGCCCACACCTGGATGTTGTCCGTGAGCTTCGCCAGGTGCTTGATGATCTCCCCGTGCTGTGCTGGCTGCATCTGCAGCAGCTTCTTAATGACGACCACCGACTCCGCGACCACCAGCTCTGCGGATGGAAGAGAGTGTGGGCCCCGATAGCCCGAGGGCCACGCGCAGGCGGACAGACCCTGCCACGCCCCAGACCCTGGCTCTCTTCCTCACCCCCTGCACTCCGCCAGTGTGGCCCCGAGAGACGCAGGGACACCTGCACACCCACTGAGGCAGACAGACGGATGGACACACCTTGTGCCTGAACAGACAGGTGGATACCCACTGGCCGTCGGACATGCAGGCAGACACCCACTGGTCATAGGGTCGGACACTCAGACAAGCACTGACCATCACGGTTGGACAGCAGCTGCACCAGGCCGTTGAGGCAGGTGTCACGGACTCGGCCTATGTTAGTGGCACAGCGTCCAATGGCCTGGATCGTGGCTGCCACGAAGTCCTTGTCCATGCTGCGGATGTAGGTCTGTGGGACATCACAACAGCGTGACCCCTCAGGGACCCTGCAGGCTTGCGGGTGACCTTCGGGACGGCCACACCTCATTCAGTGACTCATCACGCCAGAGACTAAATTCTGGGAGAGGAAGTGGCCCCCTCACCCGCTGCCCAGTGATTCCCAGGCCCGAGGCCAGCAGAGGGCATTGGGAGAGGACCGAAGATGACCATTTCTCTGGACCCTTAAAGGAAGGTCTGCCCACAGGACGACCCTCACTGTGCACAGGAGCCGTGGGCTGCTCTCCGGGGCCCTCGGGATGGGACCTGCCCCAGCCCGTACCTGGAATTCCCGCAGGACCGTGGGGATGTTGGTCTCGTTGGCCAGGTTGGTCAGCACTTCCAGCTGCAGGGAGGCAGAGAGTGGGCGTCCTGTGCTTTCACACCCGGTCATTCCAGACACACTCCACACACCAGCAAACACTCCTCAGGCAGCCCCCAGCATCCTGAGACTGACCGGGAACTGACAGGTCAGAAGCTTGTCTGCACTGCAGGAGGGCCTGTTCGCCTCTTAAATGGATTCCCTGACAGATGCACTTACAGCCTGATCATGTCACTTCTCCCTCCATTGAAAACGTAAGCCTGCCCTAGCTGGTTTGGCTCAGTGGATAAAGCGTCAGCCTGGGAACCAAATCCCGGGTTTGATTCTGGTCAAGGGCACATACCTCGGTTGCAGGCTCCTCCCCGGCCTGGGCCCTGATTGGGGCGTGTGCAGGAGGCAACCAATCAATATGTTTCTCACATCTATATTTCTCTCTGTCTTTCCCTCTCTCTTCCACTCTCTCTAAAAATCAAGGAAAAATATAAAATATCCTTAGATGAGGATTAAAATAATAATACAGTGGGGCCTTGACTTACGAGTTTAATTCGTTCCAAGACCGAGCTCGTTAAGGAGCTCGTTAACTCAAATTACGCTATCAACTCAATGCAAAAAATCGGCCGAGAGACAGCTGGTATCTCAAAAAACTCGTTAGTCAGGACACTCGTAAGTCAAGGCTCTACTGTCTTAATAAAGAAAGCATAAAGCCTCCTACTGCTTTTAGGATAAAGACTAACATCTTCCCTCAGTCTGGGAGTCCCTGATCTCCCACCACTCCCCCTTGCCTCCCATGCCCCTGTCACACAGGCCCGTTGTCAGACTCCTGCCTGCCCCAGGGCCTTTGCATGTGCTGTTTCCACAATGTGGCTGGAGTGCTTCCAAATCCTGTCCCTGCCTTTACTTAGGTAATTCGTGTTCATTTCTCAGGCCTGAGTTCAAGCCACCTGCTAAGGGAAAATTCCCCTGGCACCAGACTACATCAGGTCCTCCTATTTTATGCTCTTACAGCTCCCTGTACTGTTCTTCCATGCCGCATTTCACAAATGGATTTTACGTTTGTTTTAGGATTAGCTGCTAAATGCCTCCTCCTCACCCCAGTTAGACTGTGGGCTCCACCAGGGCAGGATGCCTGATTAGTTTGCTTTCTCTGAACTGTTTAAATGACTCAGTGAGGCAGCAGAGCAGGAACGGGATGGGGTACAGGCTCCTGTGGGCATATATGTGCATGAAAGCCCGAGGGGGTGGGAATGTGGGGGTGATAACACCGTGGGTGGGAGACGGAGGGCTGCACTGAGAAAGCATGAATTTTCAAGGCAGCAGAACTGACCTTGGGGTGGCTACCTCCTCTCCTGAGGTCCACGTTTTAATAAAATGGCGAAAATGTGCACTTCCTGAGGTGGTTGTGAAAAGTGCCAGGTACAGAACAGGTCTAGGCAAGGGTCAGTTCCCTTCCCCGTCCCCCCGCCCTCATTAGCCTGGCTTCCTGAGCAAACACTTCCGGCTGGGAGGCCACGGGCTCAGCCCCAGACACAGGCAGGCGCCCAGGTGGCCACTGTGGATACCTGAGTGGGTCTTTGGCAGGGGTCCTCAAACTTTTTAAACAGGGGGCCAGTTCACTGTCCCTCAGACCGCTGGAGGGCCGGACTATAGTTTAAAAAAAAAAACTATGAACAAATTCCTATGCACACTGCACAGATCTTATTTTGAAGTAAAAAAACAAAACGGGAACAAATACAATATTTGTATTTGCATGTGGCCCGTGGGCCGTAGTTTGAGGACCCCTGGTCTATGGGGACGGGGGCCGTGGCCAGAGAGGCCACAACCACTTCTGTCTGTCACTCACCTTCAGGATCTTGATCTGGGTGGGGTCGGTGGACCTGATGTAGAAGCTCTTCAGGTAGGGCTCGAACATACCCTGGCACGGGAGAGGCAGCCAGGGAGTTCCCCCACAGCCTCTCTTCCAGGGCAACCCCCCTCCCGGCCCGGGGCCCAGTGACCTCCCTGCCATGTCACTGTCCCCCACTCCTCAATGTCCCCCTCCTCCCTCTAGATCCGACGGGGTCTTTCTTCATGGGCTTTCCTTCCTGAGTAGCTCTCAGGATCCTGCATTTGGGGTCTCCCCTCCCCCACGCTGCACTGCCAAAGCCCTTTCCCAGCCTGCTTCTCCCCGGAGCCCCTAGCGCCATGAGCGCCATGAGCGCCATGGAAGCCACCCCTCGGACGGGGAGGGCAGGCCTTGGTCACTTGCTCACCCGGCGCTTGATGGACATGGTGGCCACGTTCTGGAGCACCACGTACTGCACCTCACTGTAGAGGAGGGTCAGAGGTTATGGGGGCCCCTCGCTGGGGCAAGGGGGGCAAGGGGCAGCCGGTGGAGGTAAGGAAAGTGGACCAAGTAGGAAGGAGGAGGGGACCGGTGTGGCCAGGGCACCAGTAGGAGGAGATGGGCCAGGGTGGGCTCAGGGTCCAGAAGTGGGCGGGCCAGGGCTGGATGTGGGCGGGACCGGGGCGGGGAATGTGGGCGGGGCGGGGCCAGGGCCGGTGTGGGCGGGGGCCAGGGTAGTGGGTGGGGGCCAGGGCCGGTGTGGGCGGGGAGTGTGGGCGGGACCTGGGCGGGGAGTGCGGGCGGGGCCAGGGTAGTGGGCGGGGCCAGGGCTGGATGTGGGCGGGACCGGGGCGGGGAGTGTGGGCCGCACCTGTGACTGCGCAGCAGGCGCACCAGCGCCTTGGCGATGACGCCCACCTCGGCCTTGGGCGCCAGGTGGAAGTAGAGCTGCGCCACGGCCATGACCACCGCGGCGCTGCGGCTCTGCAGCAGCGGCTTCGTGTTGCGCAGCAGCAGCCGGTGGTCCGGGTCCATGACATAGGGCTTCCGGGCGGGCAGCGCCGCGGAGGCCGCCTCCTCCGACCCCGCGCCCTTGGCCTCGTCCTCCTCCGAGCCGTAGAAGGCTTTCTCGGGGTTCTCCTCCAGCAGGGATTCCTGTAGGGGGACGGGGGTGGGGGGCAGCGGGCGCCTCCTCTCGGCGACCCTCCTGCCCGCGCTGGGGGTGGGTGGGGCGGGTGCTCACGTTCTGCGTGGGGCTCAGGAACTGCGTGCGCGCGTAGCGGGTGAGCATGCTGATGATGACCACCTGGCCCCACTCCTCCACGTCGATGAGCAGGTTGCAGAGCTTCCGGTAGTTCTTGTGGATCAGGTCGATGCGCTCCGGGCACACCTCCTCGAAGGCCATCACCACGCTGCCCGCCACCAGCTGGGGAGCAGACGGAGGCGAGAGGGTCACGGGGAGGGCGGGCCGGAGGGCCTCTGTCGGGCACCTTCCCACCGCCCAGCCCGTGCACCCCTGCGCGCACCGTGGTCTTGTCGGCCAGGAGCTTCTCAATGACCTCGATCAGCTGGTCCTTCTGGTCAGAATCCAAACTGCGGGAGACACTGTTGAGAGGGGCCTGCCATCCCTTCTCCAGCCTTCCCAGTGTCCGCCCAGGCTGTGCTCACCTCCCTCACCCCAACCCTGTTCACGGGGAGGTGTGAGCGTGCTCCACGGTCCTCCATCTCTCAGTTCCCAAAACCGTCTTAAAATATGATTTCAGAGAGGAAGGGAGAGGGAGAGAGCCATAGAAACATCAATGATGAATCATTGATCCGCTACCTCCTGCATGCCCCCCACTGGGCCTGCAACTTGGGCATATGCCCTTGACCTGAATCAAAGCTGGGACCCTTCAGTCCACAGGTCGACTGAGCCAAACGGGCTAGGGCCCAAAACTGTCTTAAACCACCTACAGAATAAAAAAAAGCCAGGGCATGCCTGACCGGCATGGACCACTGAACTAGGAGGTCATAGTTCGATCCCTGTTGGGGCACATGCATCCCCAGTAGGGGGCGTGCAGAAGGCAGCTGATCGATGATTCTCTCTCATCTCTCATCGCTGATGTTTCTATCTCTCCCTTCCTCTCTGAAATCAATAAAAATGTATTTTAAAAAAAGCAAAGCAGCATGCAAGACCCAGGACAGGCCAGAGGTGGGCTGGGGATGTGGGGACCCCTCCCCCGGGGAGTGAGGGCAGGGCTGGGGCAGCACACCTGTAGAGTTTAGGGATGGCATGGGCGGCCGTTTTCCGCACGTAGGGCGACATGTCCGAGGCAGCTTCCTTGATGGCCAACATCATGATGGGCACTATGATGGGCACGCGGATGCTAGAGAGGACACGGAGGGCACTGGCGCGGATCAGCTGGTTGGGGTCCTAAGGGCAGAGGGGGAGGCAGAGCCTTGAGAGGCCACCCGCCCCCAGGTATGCGCTGTCCCTGGCTACCACCAGCTCCTGCTTCCTGGCCCCGTTCTGACCCTGGAGGATGTGCCAGTGTTGGGTACCCGGGGGCACTGCTTGAGGGCATTGACTCTTGGCCTTGGCCGCACAAGTCTGACATCTAAGCGGGTGCGGCAATGGGCTGCTTTGTTTTCAGGGAGAGTGGAGAACTCTCAGAGCACCTAACGTTCCTCAAACAGCCCCTGTTCCTTAGTTCCCTTGTGTTCATGCAGAGGCCACTCCCAGCAAATGCAAGCTGGTCTCCCTCCCAAGAGTCCGACCTTCCTTGCCTCTCCCCAAAGAACCTCTCCCAAGCTGCTCTGCTGGTCTCCCTCCCAAGAGTCCGACCTTCCTTGCCTCTCCCCGAAGAACCTCTCCCAAGTTGCTCTTCTTCCTTTCTTTCTTTCTTTCTTTCTTTCTTTCTTTCTTTTTTAAAATATATTTTATTGATTTTTTTACAGAGAGGAAGGGAGAGGGATGGAGAGTTAGAAACATCAATGAGAGAGAAACATCCATCAGCTGCCTCCTGCACGCCCCCTGCTGGGAATGTGCCCGCAACCAAGGTACATGCCCTTGACTGGAATCGAACCTGGGACCCTTCAGTCCGCAGTCCGAGGTTCTATCCACTGAGCCAAACCGGTCAGGGCTCTTTCTTTCTTTTTAAATATATTTTTATTGATTTTAGAGAGGAAGGGAGAGCGAGACAGGGATAGAAATATCAATGATGAGAGAGAATCATTGATCAGCTGCCTCCTGCACACCCTCCCTAATGGGGATTGAGCCTGCAACCCAGGCATGTGCCCTGACCAGGAATGGAACCATGACCTCCTGGTTCATAGGTTGACACTCAACCACCGAACCATGCCGCCAAGGCGTCTTCCCCCACCGTGTTTAAAATAGAAGAGTGTGAGAGCCCCTCCTTGTTGCTCCTATAGCTTCCTATACACTGAGAAGGACCTGGACAGTGTACTGCAGTCATGGGCTGCAGCAGAAGCAGCTGCAAGTATGGTTCATCTTGGAGGGGGATGGACAATGGCAGGGGTGCTGGACACGCAAGACAGATGCTACCCGGATTTTCTAAAATGAAGAAAGAGAAGATCCACAACATTACTGATAAAAATGATGGCAATGTCAAAATTCTGGAATTGATTTTTAAACAGAAGGCCTAAAAGCACTTATTTAAAAAGGCAGAAGTGTAGCCGAAACCGGTTTGGCTCAGTGGATAGAGCATCGGCCTGCGGACTGAAAGGTCCCAGGTTCGATTCCGGTCAAGGGCATGTACCTGGGTTGCGGGCACATCCCCAGTGGGGGGTGTGCAGGAGGCAGCTGGTCGATGTTTCTCTCTCATCGATGTTTCTAACTCTCTATCTCTCTCCCTTCCTCTCTGTAAAAAATCAATAAAATATATTTAAAAATAAATAAATAAATAAAAAATAAAAAGGCAGGAGTGTAGCCCGGCTGTTCAGTGGTTGAGTGTCAACCAAGAGGTCACCAGTTTGATTCCCGGCCAGGGCATATGCCTGGGTTGTGGGCTAGATCCCCAGTGGGGGTGTGCAGGAGGCAGCTGATCGATGTTTCTCATTGATGTTTCTATCTCTTTATCCTTCTCCCTTTCTCTCTCTCTAAAAAAAAAATCAATAAAAAAGATACATTTTTTTAAAAAGTTACTTACTTTCAAAAATCAAATAAAAAGCCGAAGTGTGTGTTCCAGCCAGTTTGGCTCAGTGGATAGAGCATCAGCCTGCAGACTGAAGGGACCCGGATTTGATTCCGGTCCAGGGCACGTTCCTCAGTTGCAGGCTGATCTCTGGTGCCCTGAGGCTGCATGTGGGAGGCAACCAATCGACATGTCTCTCACATGGATGTTTCTCTCTGTGTCTCTCCCCAACCCTTCTACTCTCTCTAAAAATCCATGGAAAAGTGTCCTTGGGTGAGGATTAACAAAAATCTCTCTATATAAAAGCCTAATATGCAAAGTGTCCCCTCAGGAGTTCTACCTACCAGGAGTTCAATCACTCGCTATGATGTGCACTGACCACCAGGGGGCGGCGCAGAACTAAGGAAGGCCCTGGCCGGCAGCTGGCATCTGCTAGGGACCCTACCTGTGCACAAATTTCATGCACTGGGCCTCTAGTAAATATATAAATAAAAATAAATAAAAAGCAGGAGTGTGTATTTTTTCTCTTTTTTTGCTTAAGAGCTCGCTTTATTGGGAATGGAGCGCTGCGGATCAGGTTCCTACACGCGGTGCTCAGGAAGGTACACAGGGCACAGAATGTGCTGCTAATGAAGAGCAACTGGAATGGGCTCCTCTGGGCAACTTCCCAGCACTCCTGACCACTTCCTTGAAGGCAACTGTGGTTCACTGATAGATAGAGCCCCTCAGGGGTGCCTTCTTGTTTTTTATACAGAACATAGCCTTCATTTGTTACTTTCATTCTAGGTTCCCTCAAGGCCCTCAGACCAGCTCCTGTGCAGATTGCCTTGATGTCGGCACCAGCGAGGTCACCCTTAGCCGTGACCAAGTCGTCCAGTGTCCCGTCATCAGCCAGCGTCCTTCTGCTTGTGTGGACCTGGAAGATGAGTTTCTTGGTCTTTTCATCCGGCGGCGAACTCCATCTTCCTGTCAATACAGCCTGGTCTGATTAGTGCTGGATCCAGAGTTCCTGTTCGGTTTGTGGCCATGATGACTTTTACGTCTCCCCTTGAATCAAATCCACCCAACTGGTTCAACAGCTCCAACATTGGTCACTGAATTTCTCTCTCACCTCCGGAGTTTGAGTCATACCTTTTTGTCCCAACGGCATCAACTTCATCAATAAACACGGTGGCTGGTGCATTTCTTCAGCAACTCGAAACAATTCCCGAACGAGTTTGGGGCCCATCACCTAGGCACTTCTGAATGAGTTCAGAGCCAACCGCTCTCAAGAAAGTGGCTGAGGTTTGGTTTGCTATTGCTTTAGCCCAGTGCTTCTCAACCTTCTGGCCCTTTAAATACAGTTCCTCATGCTGTGACCCAACCATAAAATTATTTTCGTTGCTACTTCATAACTGTAATGTTGCTACTGTGATGAATCGCAATGTAAATATCTGATATGCAGGATGGTCTTAGGCGACCCCTGTGAAAGGGTCGTTCGACCGCCAAAGGGGTCGAGACCCATAGGTTGAGAACCGCTGCTTTAGCCAATAAGGTTTTACCTGTGCCAGGTGGACCATAGGGAATGACGCCCTTAGGGGGCTTTATACCCCCCATCCCTTCATAATATTCAGGAAGCTCCACAGATTCCTTAATTTCCTGGATTTGGTTGTCCAACCCCCGCCCCCATGTTGGCAGAGGTCTCCTGCGGGGAGTTTTCCACCTCACCGCCGTGACCAAGGGGTCCGTGTCATCCATCAGCACCCCTATCACGGCATGTACCTTGTGGCTGAGCAGGACGGAGCAGCCTGGTCCCAGCAGGTCCTTGTCCACCAAGGAAAGAATGCGGACATAGTGTTCTGAGCCCACAGATATAGACACGATGGCGTGATTGTCATCGAAGATCTCTTCTAAGGTCTCCACCGACATTGGGGTCCCCCTCAGATCATCCACCTTTGATCTTTCCTCCTCTTGCTTTTCCTCTAATGGCTTCATTTGTTCCTGATTCTAATGAATTCTTCCTCCATGAGAAGATAGTCTTTGATTTTCTCTAATTTCAATCATTTTAGCCGGCACTGCGTGTGAGGTGTGACCAGTGGCAGTTTGCTGGCAGCATCTGGTCCCTTCGATGCTTTTCTTCTTTTTCCAACTCTGGTTGGTACGGGAGGTTCGTATTTCTTTTTCTTCTCCTTGTCATCTCTCTTGTCACCTCCAGGACCATGACCACCACTCTGACTTTGACCCATCTTGCAAGGAGTATGTATTTTCTTAGAGTAAAGTCATATCACATTCACTACTAAAACCTATTTTCCTTTTAAAAAAACAAAACGCATTTTATCTGGAAATGATTATGGATTCACAGGAAGTTACCCCAAATCCCCAGTTAGGTTGCGTATGGGAGGCAACCAAAATTGATGTTTTTCTCTCACATCAATGCTTCTCTCTCTCTTTTCCCTTCCCTCTCTAAAATCAATAAAAATACATTTTAAAAAACAAAATAAATAGTGTGGGGGAATCAGCCTCCCTCCAGTATAAAGGACTTGACTCCTCCCATGTCCATTTCTGGCGGTGCTTTCCCTTCCCAGCTGCCCCAGAGAAGGGTGCCAGGTCTTTAAAGGAGCTGCTTTGCATACACTGGGCGTCCGAGACAAGGCTAAACAGAACGAGGAATCTGTTCCAGCTCTAGGGGAATAGCTGGCTGTGCTGACCTTCCAGGAAATAGGTCACGTGTCATGTCCTCTGCGCTCCCCGTGGAGTCCACCTCCGTGTCTGAGGCAGCCCTCCTGCAAGGCCACCTTCATCGCTGTCCTCTCAGTGTGGCTCAGGTGTTTCCCGTAAACCTTTGGGTCCTCCTTACCCAGTTCCAGGTGGCAAGATTCCCAAGTCACTGTTCTCTACCGACACCTGGGCCAGGTGAGCCTGCGGTGACGAGGCTCTGACACCCAGCGGTGAGGACCCAGGTGGGCAGCCCCCCTCCCCTTAAGGAGCTTGACCTGTCTGCCGGGCTGGGGGGCCCAGGTCCTTTACACCAGTGGGAGGAGGGCCAGCGGGGTCCACTGTCAGGGGTCCAGGGGTTTATATGTGAGGCAGCCATTAACACAGTCAGAAGAGAAGAGACACCCACATCACCTTTCCTCTGACTCTGACGCTCCCAACCTTGTGCAGGTAGGGAAGAGCCCCAGAGCTCAGCGCCCCCACCCCCCAGGCCCACTCCTCCAACACAGCACCATCCAGGCCCCACCCCAAGGAGGCACACCGAGACACTGACCTTGAGGCCGCGCTGGAAGGTGGAGATGGACAGCAGGGCCAGGTCTTGCTGCTCCTCAGCGTAGCGCACCAGGTACACGTAGACCAGCTTCTTCACCTGGGGAAAGCGGGTTTCCAGCAGGGACCGGCGCCCCCGCCCTGTGGATGTCCTCACCCCAGCTGGCTGCGGTCCTCGGGGACAGCTCCCTCCAGTGGGGAAGAGCATCCCTGGTGTGCCCACCCGCCTTCTCTCTGACCCACATCTAGTTCAGGGGCATGTGGACAGTGTCTCTTCCTGGACCAGGGACATTTCTGGGCAGGGCAGGCCCCCGGGGGCTGGAGGGCCCCCTTCCTCACCCCTGACCAGCAGGAGACCCCTTGCTGGGAAGCGCTCACCTCTATGTTCTTACAGGCCACGTTCTTCACCACAGCGGGAAACAGGTCTGAGGCATTCTTTCCCCGGGCGATCATCTGGGTGGTGAGGTCAAGGTTAGGAGGAGGAGGAGGAGAAGGAGAAGGAGGGAGGGGGCCAGCATTTAATAGGGGGTGGTCCACAAGGGGGACATGCTCTTTGACCCCAGGTCCCTTCCCCAAGGAAGGCAGACAGTGAGGACCAGAGGGCAAGGGTATGATATGAACGAGCAGGTGGAGGGATGACCTGGGAGGCCTCGGCCAGGTAGGGCGGGAGGTGAGATAAGAAGAGACAAGAAGCCCTGGCCGGTTTGGCTCAGTCCATAGAGCATTGGCCTGCGGACTGAAAGGTCCCAGGTTTGATTCTGGTCAAGGGCATGTACCTCGGTTGCAGGCTTGATCCCCGGCCCTGGCCGGGGCGCAAGCGGGAGGCAACCAACCGATGTGTCTCTCTCACATTGATGTTTCTCTCTGTCTCTTCCCCTCCTTTTTGCTCTCTCTAAGAATCAATGGAAAAATATCCTTGAGTGAGGATTAGCCAAAAAAAAGAGGCAAAAAGTTGGGTCAGAGTAAGAAGGGTGTGCAAGGTTTCTCCAGCCCCCTTCCTCCCCCTTCCCCGCCACCCTTACCGCCACAATCCTCTTCATGGCCTCCAGCTTGAGGGAATCCTTGTTACTGTCCAGCATCTCCTTCAGGTCATCGTGCCTGGTGGGAGGCACAGGGGGTCAGCTGAGGGCACAGGGTGGGGGTGGGGCTATTAATCTGGAGGATCCAGGAGGAAAGAAGGGACATGGGCGGGGCTGGCTCGGGCAGGACCCCATCAGAGGGGAAGGGAAAAACATGTGGGTCAGACAGTGATATGGGTGGAACTGTGTCCCCCTCAAAAAAGAGATGTTGAGCCCTAGCCGGTTTGGCTCAGTGGATAGAGCAGTGATTCCCAAAGTGGGCGCTACCGCCCCCTGGTGGGCGCTGCAGCGATCCAGGGGGGCGGTGATGGCCACAGGTGCATTTGGGGGCATATATCTTTCTGTTTAATTGCTATTAAAATTTAAAAAAAATTAATTTCCAGGGGGCGCTGAGTAATATTTTTTCTGGAAAGGGGGCGGTAGGCCAAATAAGTTTGGGAACCACTGGGATAGAGTGTTAACCTGCGAACCGAAGGGTCCCGGGTTCGATTCTGTCAGGGGCATGTACCTCAGTTGCAGGCTCCTCCCTGGCCCAGGCCCTGGTTGGGCTCATCCAGGAGGCAACCAATCAATGTGTTTCTCTCACATGGATATTTCTCTCTGTCTTTCCCTCTCTCTTCCATTCTCCCTAAAAATCAATGGAAAAATATTCTTGAGAGAGGATTACCAACAACAACAAAAATAGACATGTTGAAGTCCTAATTCCTGGGCCCCAGGAGGTGACTGTATTTGCCGTTGTAAGTAGTAGTTAGGATGAGGTCATACTGGAGTAGGGTGGGACCAGTGTTCTTATAATAAGATGGCCCAGGTCGGGGAGGAGACTGCAACCGAGGTACATGCCCTTGACAAGAATCGAACTTGGGACCCTTCAGTCAGCAGGCTGATGCTCTATCCACTGAGCCAAACCCTCTAGGGCAGTGGTTCTCAACCTGTGGGTCGAGACCCCTTTGGGGGTCGAACGACTCTTTCACAGGGGTCGCCTAAGACCATCGGAAAACACATATATAATTACATATTGTTTTTGTGATGAATCACTATGCTTTAATTATGTTCAATTTGTAACAATGAAAATACATCCTGCATATCAGATATTTACATGACGATTCATAACAGTAGCAAAATTACAGTTATGAAGTAGCAACAAAAATAATTTTATGGTTGGGGGTCACCACAACATGAGGAACTGTATGAAAGGGTTGCGGCATTAGGAAGGTTGAGAACCACTGCCCTAGGGCTTTATTAACATTCTTAACTTCAAAGAGAAGCAACAAGAACTTATTCACTGCTCTGACTGGTTTGGATAGAGCGTCGGCCTGCGGACTCAAGGGTCCCGGGTTCGATTCCAGTCAAGGGCATGTACCTTGGTTGCAGGCACATCCCCAGTGGGGGGTATGCAGGAGGCAGCTGATCGATGTTTCTCTCTCATCGATGTTTCTAACTCTCTATTCCTCTCCCTTCCTGTCTGTAAAAAATCAATAAAATATATTTTAAAAAAAAAGAACTTATTCACTCAATTCATTCATTCATTCATTCATTCATTCATTCATTCACCTTCAACAAATACTTTGTTGCTAGGCTGCCCTGTGAGTATAGAGACTGAAACCTGGGACTCTGGTCCATAGGCCGATGCTCTAGCCACTGAGCCACCCTGAGGCAGGGGCCTTCCCTGGGAGCAGGGAGGCTGGAGGTCTCTTTAAACTCTGGGTGTTCTCTGGAGCAGAGCTCCTCACACCCAGGTGTCCTCGCCGCACCCACAGATGCCACAGGCACTTGTCAGAGGCACACCCCCCAGGCCTGTGCTGGGGCACCCCCACCGCTCCCCCCCCCCCAGCTTGCTGCACACACTCCAGGCCCCTGAAGGTCCCAGGCCCTGGGCCACGGAGAACTGAAGGGGGAAAAAGGAACCACTGGGTGTAGGCAGGAGTGCAGGCAGGGCTGTCGGATGCCACTAACACAGACAGACCACCCGGGGCCCCTTGTCCTCGCTCTCACCAGCGAATGTTCCCCAGAGGGCAGGGACGGAGAAGCACAGCAGCACCGAGGCCCTGAAACCTTACTCCCTGAGGTCAGATCCCCTTACGCCACTCACTGACCTGACCCCTTGTCTGGCCTGAGGGACTCTCTGGGGTGAAACAAGCATTCTGAGGCCAGTCCCGCTCCCCCCTCACCCCCACGTTCCAATTTACCAGGCTGGGAAAGGGTGGGCACACTCTATCCGAGACTTGATCCCGGCCTAAACCCCCACCTACAGCCCATTCCAACCAGGGCCTGGGGGAGGGAAAAGGTCAGTATGGGACCTCAACCTCCATCATTTTACTCTCCTCCTCCCCTCAGAGTTCTGGGGAGTTACGCTCCCCGTCACCTCCTCATCTTCAGTCCCCACGCTGGGCCCCACTGGGACCCTAAATGCAAGCCCAGTCCTCCCCCCCCCCCCCGAGCAGGTGGGACTAGCGGAGTCTGGCCTGAGTGGCAGCGGCCCATCCCTCGCCTTCCCGGGCTCCCAGGTGTGGCCCCCGGGGTTCCTCTGTACCGGAGTGGCTGGCTCTGACTCTGGCCTTGGCCGGGCTCTGGGCACGGTCCTTCCAGGGGCGCTTCTGGGGCTGTGTCTTCCTCGGGGGCCTGAAGCCACCGAAGCTCCTCGGGCTGCAGGGCCTGGTACCAGGCTGGGGGCCCGCCCTCGGGGGTCAGCACGGGGCTGGCAGCCTCCTGGTCCGCCCCGCTGGCCCCTCGGGCCCCCGTCCTGGCCACTGCCGCTGGGAGCTGCAGGAATCGCTGCATCGGGGCCGGGTCCTGCTCTGGGATGGGACTGAGCTGGCCAGGGAGCTGGGGACGCCTGTCACTGTCACCAGACGGCCCGCCCCCGAAACTCAGAAACCGGACACTGGCAGGGAGAGAGGCTCTGGTTTCCTCTTCGCAGCTCAGAGACAAGGACTAAGGAGGGGAGGAGACTGGGCACCGAGCCAACCTCAATCTCTGAGCAGGAGGCCAGAGGTCGGGGAGCTGGTTCAGAGGGAGGTTGAGGGGTGCCCTCCTCACCCCTTCACTCCCCAGCGGGACCTCTGCCTCCCCAGAACTGCTCGTCAGAAACCTTGCACACCCTTCTTACTCTGACCCAACCTTTTTGCCTCTTTTTTTTTGGTTAATTCTCGCTTGAGGATATTTTTCCATTGATTTTTAGAGAGAGTGGAAAGGAGGGGAAGAGATAGAGAGAAACATCAATGTGAGAGAGACACATCGGTTGGTTGCCTCCCGCATGCGCCCCGACCAGGGCCGGGGATCAAGCCTGCAACCGAGGTACATGCCCTTGACCAGAATCAAACCCGGGACCTTTCAGTCCGCAGGCCAACGCTCTACGGACTGAGCCAAACCGGCTAGGGCTTCTTGCCTCTTCTTATCTCACCTCCCGTCCTACCTGGCCTAGGCCTCCCAGGTCTTCCCTCCACCTGCTCATTCATATCATACCCTTGCCCTCTGGTCCTCACTGTCTCTACCCTGCCAGGGGTGGTTGGCTTTATTCACTGTATTTTAAAATGCCTCAACCCTCCTCAAGTTCCCACCCTCACCTTTGCCTCCGATAAAATCCCTCACAGCTCCCAACACCTATGCTCGCCTCTCCTCCAGCCCTCCTCCCCCCAAAGCAGAGCTGGTCCGCCTTGAAGCCAGGCCATTCCTCCCACTCAGCTCTAGAAACACGCCCCCCCTCCCCCCCACCTAAGGATTTGTGCTTCCTTCCATTCCCTTCAGCCTCTCCCACTCTACTGGCCCTTTCCCAACTGCAGATAAACTTGCTCTAGGCGCTCCCATCCTAATAAACAAACAACAATAAAACAGACTATGGAAAACAGTATGGAGTTTCCTCAAAAATTAAAAATGGAACTTGCGCCCTAACTGGTTTGGCTCAGTGGATAGAGTTTTGGCCTGCGGACTGAAAGGTCCCAGGTTCGATTCTGGTCAAGGGCATGTACCTTGGTTGCGGGCACATCCCCAGTAGGAGGTGTGCAGGAGGCAGCTGATCGATGTTTCTAACTCTCTCTCCCTCTCCCTTCCTCTCTGTAAAAAAATCAATAAAATATATTTTTTTAAAAAAAGTGGAACTTGCGTTTGACCCAGCAATCCCACTTCTGGGAATATATCTGAAAACCCCCAAAACACCAATCAGAAAGAACATATGCACCCCTATGTTCATAGCAGCATTATTTATAATAGCTAAGATTTGGAAACAGCCCCAGTGCCCATCAGTAGATGAGTGGATAAAAAAGCTGTGGGACATTTACACTGTGGAATACTATGCAGCTGTAAAAAAGAGGGATCTCTTACCCTTTGGGACAGCATGGATAGACCTAGAAAACATTATACTAAGTGAAATAAGCCAAACTGAGAAAGACAAATATCACATGATCTCACTTATTTGTGGAACCTAATGAACAAAATGAACTGACCAACAGCTCTTCAGCTCTTACAGGTGTACCAGTTAATAATGCGGATTTTTTTTCAATAGATGGAGTTACACATATGTTGATATATATGCGGTTTGATATGTATGTCAATACAACAAAATTGACAGCAAGCTTCAAAACTTCATGTCAAATTTTCTGAAGGCGTTAACATCATAAATTTTACGCTTAAAAATGTCCAATTTTATGCCAAAAAAAAGAGCATTTGCAGGAAGTTTTAATTCATTACTTTATTTTGAAGAAAAGTGCTGCTGAAAGTTATAGTATACTTTGGAAAGCTTATGGTGAACATGCTCCATCTCAAGATACTTGTGAATGCTGGTTTAAATGCTTTAAAAGTGATGATTTCGATGTGAAAGACAAAGAATGTCCAGGTCAACCGAAAAAGTTTGAAGACCAACAATTACAAGCATTATTGGATGAAGATGCATGTCAAACTCAAAAACAACTTGCAGAAAGATTAAACATTGCTCAGTAAACAATTACCGATCGTTTACAAGCAATGGGAAAGATTCTAAAGGAAGGAAAATGGGTGCCACATAAACTGAACGAAAGACAAATGGAAAACCGAAGTCATCAGTAAAATGTTTCTTCAATGGCACGAAAGAAAGTCTTTTTTGCATCGAATTATGACTGGCGATGACAAGTGGATTTATTTTGAGAATCCCAAACGCACAAAATCATGGGTTGATCCAGGTTAACCATCAACATCGACTGCAAGGCCAACTCGCTTCGGAAAGAAGACAATGCTCTGCGTTTGTTGGGATCAGAAAGGTGTGGTGTATTAGGAGCTTCTAAATCCAGGTGAAACCATTAATACTGATCGCTACCAACAACAAATAATCAATTTGAAAAAAAATAATCAATTTGAGCCATGCTTTGATTGTGGAATGACCAGAATGGGCCAGAAGACATGGCAGAGTAATTTTGCTTCATGACAACGCACCATCACACACTTCAAAACCAGTTAAAGACATGTTAAAAGATCTTGCCTGGGAAATATTAACCCACCCCGTATTCACCAGACCTTGCTCCTTCAGATGAACCACTTGTTCTGATCGATGGCACACGCACTTTCTGAGCAGCACTTCAAAACGTACAAAGAAGTGGAAAATTGGGTCTCTGAACAGTTTGCCTCAAAATAAGAAAAGTTCTATTGGGACGGTATCCACAAAATACCTGAAAGATGGGGGAAATGTGTAGCTAGCGATGGACATTACTTTGAATAAAGCACTTTTGATATTTCTCTTGAAATTATCGTGTTTTCTTGGATTACAAAATCCGCATTATTTTTTTAAATACATTTTATTGATTTTTTCCAGAAAGGAAGGGAGAGGGATAGAGAGGTAGAAACATCAATCAGCTGCCTCCTGCACACCCCCCACCGGGGACGTGCCCGCAACCAAGGTACATGCCCTTGACCGGAATCGAACCTGGGACCCTTCAGTCCGCAGGCCGACGCTCTATCCACTGAGCCAAACCGGTTAGGGCTAAAATCCGCATTATTAACCGGTACAAATGTAAGAGCTGAAGCAGGGAGGCATGGAACAGACTGATATGCCTTGATGTAGGGTTGGGGGGACGAGAAGAGATAAACCAAAGAAACTTATATACTTATATACATAGCCCATGGACAGGGGTAATAGGGCAGGGAAGACCTGGAGGGGTGGAAGGAGGCTGGGAGGAGGGAGAAAAGGGGAGGGGGGCGGGACGGGAGACATCTGTAATATTATCAACAATAAAAAATACATTTAAAAAAATGACAAACCTCCCTGAACTTGTGTTCTCCTCCAGCAACTCTTTCCCTCCTTCCCCTTTCCACTCAAACTTGTTTTTTTTTTTAAAAAAAAATATACATTTTTATTGATTTCAGAGAGGAAGGGAGAAGGAGAGATAGAAACATCAATGATGAGAAAGAATCACTGATCGGCTGCCTCCTGCATGCCCCCTACTGGGGATAGAGCCCACAACCCAGGCATGTGCCTGACCAGGAATCAAACGGTGACTTCCTGGTTCACAGTTCGATGCTCAACCACTGAGCCACGCCGGCCGCACCACTCAAACTTCTTGAAAGCAAAGTTCCCATTCACCGTGTTTTATTCATTCAGCTGCTATTCACTTATCTATCACTTTCATCTGGCTTTAGATGCTGATTAGAATTTAGGACTGAGGGGTCATGATGTCTGCAGCTTACGTGATTCAGCTAAAAACCAGTATGACTAGGTGGCTGGACAAAGCGACTATGGCCCAATGTCAACAATGGTTGAATCGAGGTGAAGGGTGTACACATTACTGCATTACTCACTCAGCTCACTTGTATGTTTAAAATGTTCATAATAGGATGTTGCGGGGGGGGGGGGGGGGAATGATCTAGCTCTTCCTCTGACTTTGCCAGAACTGGTCTCCCAGGGCAGGAGGTGGGGAATGAAGCAAGGAGGGGTTGACCTGCTCTTTGTCAAACCAAGGGTCACAAATGTCTTTCCTTGTCTGACTTGACCTCAATGGGCACTGACCATACTGGTCACTTCCTTCTTCTTGAATCCATGTTTTATTTTCCTCCTACCTCTTTTTAAAAATATTTTTTCATTGACTTCAGAGAGGAAGGGAGAAGGGGAGAGAGAGAGACATCAATGATGAGAGAGAATCATTGATCAGCTGCCTCCTGCACACTGGAGATCGAGCCCGCAACCTGGGCATGTGCCCTGACAGGGAATCCAACCCTGACCTCCTGGTTCATAGGTTGACACTCAACTACTGAGCCACGCCGGCTGGGCCCTCCTGCTTTTTGGTTTACTTTCTGTTATCTTGAAACACGTCTCCCCTGCTCTCTGGTCACCCCCCATATCGGTGCTCTAGTTGAACCCATATACCCTCCCTGGGTTAATCTTCACTTCCTTCTGTGGCCTTAGCAACACACACACACACACCTATCTCCTGGAATGCAAATCCTAATATCCAGCTACCAACTCGATTCCAATGTCTTGAGTTTATAACGTCAGCATGTCCAAAGCTTGGCTCAACACTGCTTGTAACATCTTTCTTTCCAACCACACTGAATAGCACCACCATCCATCTGGCTGCAGTCACTAGTAACCCGAGTATCATCCTTATCTTCTCCAGCCCCTTCCTCTCACCTCTTTCCAAGTTAATCATCAGGTCCTGGCTTCTGCCTCCTCAAGAGCCCTCAAACCCTCTGTCCCTCCCCTATACCAGGCCATCACATATCCCCCTCCCTACTTCAACACCTCCCCCCACCCCCAACACACACACACTAATCTCTGGATCAATCCAGCACACACTCCAATCTCTTCTCCACAGTCCAGCCTGGGATCCTTCTAAAATGCAAATCTGATATCAGTAGAGCACCCTGCCTCCACCCCTGAAAAAAACCAAAAACCTGGCATCTCCCCACCCTCATTTCTGGTCACTACAATGGTGTTTGCATGGTGGTTTGTATGGGGACTCTGGCCCCACTGTACCTGCACCTACAAAGCCTGTGATCTGACTCTCCTTCACCTCCCCACCTTTCTCTAAGCTCTGCCTGTAGCATCCCTCACTCTCCACCCTCCAGGCCAGGGACCAGCTCCTCCCGCCCTCCCACTGCCCGCTCTACCCTGAAAATCCTCTGTGCCCCCTTCTAGAGCAACTCGAGGACAAGGATTGGCTCACGTCATGGCCACATTCACAGAGACTAGGATGAGACTCCACAGAGTGGGCCCTTATATATGCTTGTTACAGAATTTACGAATAAATGAAGGAATAAGGTGGGGAAGGGCAGCGGGAAGGGAAGGTGGAGCTGAACTACAGGAGCAGTGCACCAGCTAAGAGATGAGGGTGAGAACCTGGGGCTGAGAACGAGGGAAAATGGATTTGTAGGAGGAGCCAGGCCTGGAGGCTCCCAGTCTATACCCCTTCGCCTTTCCTCTCCACCTCTGACCCCTCCCGAGTTCTTTTGGAATCAGCCTGCCTTGTGGGCAAGAGGTAGGGAACCTGTAATCCACACAAGCAGAGAAACCCTGGGGCGGGAGGTCGGTCCAGGAACAGAGGGGGCTGGCCCATCCCCCACGGCCTCCAACCCCGTCGCGGGCCCCAGGTCCGCCCCTGGGTGGGGAGCTGGTGTGGGGATTGGGGCGCAGCAGACAGGGGCTGCGGGTTCAGTCGCGTGGCCAGGGTGGGGCCTGGTGCGCGGTCGCTGTCCATGGTGCCGGCGCGTCTGCCAGGCCAGGCGCAGGCGCGGACCCGGGAGGCCCCAGCCCCTGCCCACCCTCCGGTCGGCTCCCTCACCGCTTGTAATCGGAGGAGAAGATGCCGCCGCTGGCCGGGTCGTGGCCGTACTCGGGCTCCCCTGGGCCCGCGGAGCCACCCTTGTCCTCATTGTAGGCGGGGGCCACCGACATGGGGTGGCTGGGGTGCGCGGCCGCAGAGAAAGGGGGCGCAGCGGGCAGGCGAGGTCTGTGGCCGAGGCGCGGGGTGCTGTACCCGGCAGGGTGCCGAGGCGCGGGGTGCTGTACGCTGCAGAGACCCAGCCACGGAGGCGCAGGGAGTGAGCGATTTATCAATCAGGGCCCTGGCGGAGGTTCTTAAAGGCACCGGTGCCCGGTCGCGGGAGGCGTGTCCACGGAGGGTCTGCCCCGCCCCGCCGCTTCGCAAATCCCTCCCTCCCCAGAGGATGGTGCCTGCCCTGAGGGGATGCCTCTCCAGGTTGCCAGAGGGTGCGGGTTGTTGAACTGAGGATGCGACTACGTTCTGGGGGTCGCCTCTCGGGGCTGTGCTGATCCCAGACGCCAGCGCGGATGGTCACCTACTCAGCGGAAGGAAAGAGGGGGGCTGAAGAGAAGGCTGTGCCTGAGGCTGGGGGTGGTTAGACCATTGCACCAGAGACTGACCACAGAGACCAAAGACGCCAGAGAAAGAGATGAGGACAAAACAGAGGGGCGGTGAACCCAGATTCCGCCTTTGGAAAATAGTTTAATGACCATTTCTTTTCTTTAAAAAAAAAATTTATTGTTTTGTTTTTTTTTACAGAGAGGAAGGGAGAGGGATAGTTAGAAACATCGATGAGAGAGAAACATCGATCAGCTGCCTCCTGCACACCCCCCACTGGGGATGTGCCCGCAACCAAGGTACATGCCCTTGACCGGAATGGAACCTGGGACCCTTCAGTCCGCAGGCCGACGCTCTAGCCACTGAGCCAAACTGGTCAGGGCTAATGACCATTTCTTGAAGCCTCCATGGCATTCTGGAGGGCCTGAGGTCAGCCTAGTCCAGGGGCAACTCCATGTCCACTGACACCGAGGAGGGAAGGGAAAGAGGAGAGGCTGGGAGAGGGTCTGGTGCAATCATATGAAGCCTCCAGCTCAGCTCCCAAGGGTCCAGGCACCCCAAGGAGAGACGACCTGGGTCTAGAAGGAAAGGGATGGGATCTGGCTGGGCCTGAGTTTGAGGCACCGGGTTGGCTAGGGGGGTAGCTGGGGTCTCTTGGCTGGGCTTGGGGGAGGAGGTTAGAAAAGTTTGTGGGGCTGAGTCTCAATCTACAGCAGTGGTTCCCAACCTTTCTTTGGCCGTGCCCCATCTAAGCATCTCTAACATCCTGATGCCCCTCCCCCCTCACCCCCTCCCCCGTGACATAGAATTCTTATTATTCAAAAAGTGAGCTCCCATTCACATGGGAGGAAGCCTAAAAGGCCATGAACTTGGTCTGAACAAGAACATGGCATCCATGAGAGAGAAAAATAAAAGAACAAAAGGACAGTTGAAGGGCTGAGAAAGAAATCACTAGAAATTGTTAAAAAAAAAAAAAAGAAAAGAAAAGATAATATGAAGTGATATGAAAAAATAGCAAATACAGTTTCAAAACATATAATAGAGAACTGAAATGCATAAATATGTCATAATATATATATTTATAGACTGTATATGAGGCCCCTAGAACCATAAGAAATGCAAAAAAAGCCACTGTTAATAACTCATTCTCAAATTGCCCCCCTTAAAAATTAAATTGCCTCCCTGTGGGGCGTGTGCCCCACGTTGGGACCCACTGGCCTACAGACTAGGATGCCTGTGTCTCCAAGACCAGAATCGGTGAGCCTGGTGGAAGTGGGCGGGGCCCAGGCAGGGGGAGCAGGGCTCCACAGGGAGGTTCCCCAGTCGCAGTGGGTTTGACCAGGACCAGGGCAGAGCCTGGAGTGAGAGGCTGGGAGGCTGCAGTAGAGCTATGGCCGGGATCTCTGCGCTGTGGGCAGGCCTAGTTTGCTTCTGGGGGATTTCATCCTGCCAGACTCAAGCTGGCCTTGAGGCAAGGGGGCTGGGCGGGTGCAAAGGTGTGAGTTTTGCAGGAACACAGAAGTGAGCTGCAGTTGTTAACAGGCTCTGGAGGCCGGTGAGGTCCTGAGTGGGTGGCTCACCAAGCTAATGGGACTTGGATCCGTTTGCAGGGTGTCCAGGCTGGGCTCCAGGTAGAGCAAGTACAGCGCAAAGTGCACGCAGTTGCTGCGCGTAGGGTGGTAGGGAGACGGGTCCGCGTCCACGCCACTGCGCCTGCGCAGCACACGCCACAGCGAGCGCCGCCCCTGCTTGGATTCAGTGCCTTCGCAGGAGCCCAGGAGCGTGTGCGGCCCGCGCCCACAGGGAGTTTAGCCCGCGGGAGTGGCCAGATGGGTACGGATCACAGCCCGGCTTAGATCATGTGATCGTGCACCCCCACTTCCCAGGACCCGGAGGTGGGTGCCTAAGCGCCTATTTTGAGAAACCTGCGGCCCCAGCTCTGACCACGGTCTCCCTTCCCCTGTGGCCCGCCGCCTGGCGGAGCGGGACTCGGATGGGCGGTCTTCTTTGCAGACCAGGCCTCTGCTTCAGCCGGAAACTCTTACCCTCGAAGTGGACGATCTCTCCGTGGCCGCAGTACAGCCCCACATGGGCCCCGCACCAGCGGCCCGTGGGGGCCATCAGCCTGAACAGGAAGAGGTCTCCAGGCTCGGGCTCCCTGCCCTCCAATTCCACGGTCTCCAAGGGCTGACCCAGGAAAGCCTCCGAGAGGAAGAATTTAAGTCACGGCCTGTGAGGAGAAAGGGACCGGGAGTTTGCACGGGCCACCTCCTCCCACTAGGCATCTGGTTAGATGGTCTGCCCAGGGTTCAGGGAGACCTGGCTGGGGGACAGGCCCAGGGTGGATGTCCTCACTACCCCACACCTGCCTCCCTGTGCCGAGGAACTCCGAGGCCTGGACATCACGGGTAAATCCTGCCCCGGGCCACCCCTGAGAACCCCTCTCAGTTCCAGCAACTGGGACCTCCTCTTCAGCCAAGTCGTCTTCTCATTTCCAATTCCAGCTACTCCGCTATCTTCCCCTCCCCTGCTCGGGGACCCTCTCCCCAACCTTCTCCCATCTTGCTACTCCCTGGAGGAGACACCGTAGACCAGTGGTTCTCAACCTTCCTAATGCCACGACCCTTTAATACAGTTCCTCATGTTGTGGTGACCCCCAATTTCATTGTTACAAACTGAACATAATTAAAGCATAGTGATTAATCACAAAAACAATATGTAATTATATATGTTTTCTGATGGTCTTAGGTGACCCCTGTGAAAGGGTCGTTTGACCCCCAAAGGGATCGTGACCCACAGGTTGAGAACTGCTGCTGTAGACAGTGTCAGCTGGTCCCTGGGGTGACAGCTGTCCCGAAGGAACAAAAACCACGGAGAGATCTGCCCCCAGGACCCCTCCACCAACCTCAATAGCAAACGTCTAGTGAGCAGTTGCTCATTTGATCCTTAATATAATCCGTTTGATGGGTACAGTAGCCCATTTTCAGGATAAGGAAGCAGGCTCAGAGGTTGCCAGAAAGCACACGGTATGTGTCTTATGCCCTTTGTACTAAACATCGGTCACCTCTTACCTTCTCTTCCTCGACAAGGAAGCGAGAATGCATTTAGTTTGCATTTCTCCTATCTTCACTGAGGGCTCTGGGACTTGGGGGGAGGGCCTCACTCCCTGGGCCTGGGCGAGGGTGAAGGGAGGGCCTGTTGGGCATGCGCTCTGGCAGAGCAGCTGAGAGACGGAAGCGACCCGCCACCCCTGGGTCTCTGGGTATCTGTGTTGGACGGGAGTGGGTTGACTCCAGCTGATTTGATGTGGGTGGGAAGGACCCACATAGAAATGAGGAGCAGGGCTGCCCAAGCCCACACTGCAGAGTGCCAGCCGCTATGTTCCTCCCCTCCCTGACCCCCTCGGAAGTTCCCTCTGGCCCCAGTCCGCAGTATCCTCCACTTATTACCGGGTGAGTCTCATTTTCCCACACGGAGCTGTTGGAAGATCAGGTGACCAACTCCTCCCAGTTGGCCTTGGGACTTCCCAGGTTTTAAAGTAGAAGGTCCAGCCGAAACCGGTTTGGCTCAGTGGATAGAGTGTCAGCCTGCGGACTGAAAGGTCCCAGGTTCAATTCCGGTCAAGGGCATGTACCTGGGTTGCAGGCACATTCCCAGCAAGGGGCATGCAGGAGGCAGCTGATCGATGTTTCTCTCTCATTGATGTTTCTAACTCTCTATCTCTCTCCCTTCCTCTCTGTAAAAAATCAATAAAATATATTTTAAAAAAAAATAAAGTAGAAGGTCCCACATCCAGGAACCCAGGAAAACCTGGACGGTAGCTCATCCGAGGCTCAGGTTCCCCCGCGTCCATCTCCCTTGACCTCAGGAGACCTCAGGGAGGACCCAGTGTGCATAGTCCTGCGGCCATGCTCTTCTGCACTCCACCTTGGTTCCTGCTTCCCTGTCTGCCCCCTGCCCACTGGGTGAAGCAGCAGTCAGAGCTGTGGGAGAGGGTCAGCTGTCCTGGCACCTGTGGGGGCAGCGGGCACCCTACCTGGGGAGAAGACAGGCCAAGGGCTTCTGGTCCAGTTACCCGAGAGGAGAAGCTCATCTAAGGAGGAAAAAAACAACAGCTGTCACACCTGGCTGCGCAGGAGTGAGGTCCAGGCCGCCACCCCTCCTGCCTCTCCCCTCAGGCTGGGACTTCTGCGTGGCTGTGCGTGTGATACACCCATGAGTCTGTGCTGTAATATCGGGCACAGGACTGGCAGACCTAGTCCTGGCTAAGCCACTTTTTAAAAAATACATATTTTTATTGATTTCAGAGCGGAAGGGAGAGGGAGATAGAAACATCAGTGATGAGAGAGAATCATTGATTGGCTGCCTTCTTCACGCCCCACACTGGGGATCGAGCCTGCAACCCGGGCATGTGCCCTTGACTGGAATCGAACCCAGGACCATTCAGTCCACAGGCCCACAGGCTGATGCTCTATCCACTGAGCCAAACCAGCCAGGGCTATACCACTTTTTTATATAGGACATCTTGTTCCTCTGGGCCTCAACTTCCTCATCTGTGAACTAGGAATAATAAGCCTAAA